CGTGGAAGTTTCAGTCCTAACCAAATGACTTGTGGAAGTTTCAGTCCTAACTAAGTAACTTGTGGATGTTTCAGTCCTAACTAAGTAACTTGTGGATGTTTCAGTCCTAACTAAGTAACTTGTGGATGTTTCAGTCCTAACTAAGTAACTCGTGGATGTTTCAGTCCTAACGAGTAACTTGTGGATGTTTCAGTCCTAACTAAGTAACTTGTGGATGTTTCAGTTCTAACTAAGTAACTTGTGGATGTTTCAGTCCTAACTAAGTAACTTGTGGATGTTTCAGTTCTAACCAAATGACTTGTGGATGTTTCAGTCCTAACCAAATGACTCGTGGATGTTTCAGTCCTAACCAAATGACTTGTGGATGTTTCAGTCCTAACTAAGTAACTTGTGGATGTTTCAGTCCTAACTAAGTAACTTGTGGATGTTTCAGTTCTAACTAAGTAACTTGTGGATGTTTCAGTTCTAACTAAGTCACTTATCCTTGAAAGTGAGGAAGTATACAACTTGTAAATTACCAAGTTGACTTGTTAGGACTAAAATTATTTTTTATTAAACTTGTTTACAAAATACCACAGATCCCATTACTTGAGAAGAGTGATGTAAAGAGAAATAATTACCAAATAATGTAAATATTTACCAGTTACTTCTTTAAATAAAGAATGTGAAGTATACAAATCACCAAGATAAACTTTTAATACATAATATTCAACACATTCATATATATATATTTGTGAAATATTAGTAGTACTTAGCATTTGAAGCTGAATACAAAATAAATCTATATATACCAACCTTAATGCAAGTGAGCCGGACACAAGTACCAGGGTGATCACATGATGAATAAGAAGAACAATCGAATCTTTGCGCCAGGTATCCAGAAAGAGTGTAGCATACACAGAATGCAGATAAAAGCTACACTGTATTATGTACAGAATGTAAATGTCTGTAGGTATGGGAGTATTAATGTTCCAATCTGAAACAAAAAAAAATTACCACATCAAAATTAGAATAACGTATTCCCGAGTGAAGTTTACCGAGACGGTCGATACAGTAAGCTATGTCAGTCTAGCTTGTCAGAAGTTCAAAGCGTGCTTCCATAGAAAATGTTCTCACCCGACTAGCAACGTATGCTTATTTGGATGCAGTATGGGCCGAGATACTATAGAAATCTGAGAAGAAACACAAGTACTGTAATAAAAATAATCCCTAACTTTAATTAACATTTCTTTACACCTCACAGTGTATCAGATCTGTCATTATAACATGCATGTTATTTGTGACGTCACAGTATATCAGATCTGTCATTACAACAAACACGTTATTTTTGACGTCACAGTATACCAGCTCTGTCATTACAACATGCATGTTATTTTTGACATCACAGTATACCAGATCTGTCATTACAACATACACGTTATATGTGAGGTCACAGTATACCAGATCTGTCATTACAACATACACGTTATTTGTGACGTCACAGTATACCAGATCTGTCATTACAACATACATGTTATTT